TAAGCATAAAGCAGCCAACCAAATCATGCAATGCCTCATTAAGATCGCAAAGTGTCGTATATGAAGTAGGTTGGATCTCTTCTGACCACCTTTCTTGGTTTGGTGTTATTTTTTCGTAACTAGTACTTTCTGGCTCTGACGATGTCTGTCGCAGGAAGGACGAAGGCTCGTAGAAACGTGAGCTGAGGTCTTCTTAGCACAATTCAACAAACAACAGCCCAAGGCAACCCTCCTTCGGTATCCGCTGAGGTCAATCTTCGAATCCCTTCGACCCGCCTTCTCAAAACCAAATTAAAGTTAGGCCAGTATGGACTTGGAATTGTTGATCAAAACCCCTCGTACTATGCCACGTTAATACCAAAATATGGAGTTGCCCTGTCTGTCGCGAATGCGTCAGACGGAGCTCCGTTAAAGCAGTTCCGATTTAGGCGCGGTTGTCATGCCAAATGTCAATTGGGCTGGCTTGCTCTTTCTACCAGCCACATGCAAATGTTCCCCTCTTCCGAGGGAGTCGAGCGGAGCAGCTGCCAGTGATGCTACCGGCTTCGCGGCTTCACTTGGACGGGTGCCCATCTGCTTCTGGCGTCTGATCTGATCTGCCTTTCATTCTCCCAACCGTGCTACTCTTCTCCGACCTAGTCTGGAGTTGTTACTTGTTTTGGGGAGCTGTGCTTGAAAGGGTGCAAGTGAGATGAAGTGAGGTCTAGGACGAAAGTAAGAGCAAAGTTGAGGGTGAGGACGAAGGCGAGCGAATGAGGGTGATGGAAAATGCGACGGATGAAGAGAACGATAGCGAAGAAGCGACAAATCGTGTCAAGACGAGGAGGAAGCCTCCAGAGAGGCTTGGACCCCTTTCGCCCTAGTTTCCCGGCCCCAATGCCGGCTGGATTCGCTGCTTTTGGCTCAAGTGCTAAAAGACTCGTTTGCTGTGGTGAAGACGAACACCCAACAGGCCAAGAGTCTCTAGTGTGCTTTTGGCGGTGATATTTTCTGACTTTCACACTGGCAGATGTGTCACATGCAATGACCACCTGCCGGCACTCTCCTTGCCTCCGCGTGTGCACACAAGAAATGCTGCATAAACTCTGATTTTGTGAACTTTTTCCGTTGTCACCGCACTCCGCTCCCTCAAGACCCGAAAGCAGGTGCAATAGACGATTCGACTGAAGCAAACTAAGCAAGGACACTTCACCATTCACTTTCGTGATCTGACCTCAAGCTCTCATTACGGCGAGGGCGATTTGAAAAGGAGACATGGACCCTTTTAGTCGACCTGTTTCGACAACCCGACGACAGAAGGTTCACCCGTTTGGCTGTCCGTGGAGGCAGTAAGGACGCCATCCTATTGCTGCCGCATTCGCAATGCAGAATCGTCGAGCTGCTTCGTTGAAAAGCATCATGACCTGCTTTGCTCTCAGCTGTTGCCAACGATGCCAACACAGTTGTGGGCTAAAACAACGCCAAATTAATCGTGTTGCGAAGACAAGTTGGGTTTCGAGGAATCTCTTGTTTCATAATTGTTAAGCTTACTTCCATTTTGAGTAAAAGTGTTGGGTGAAGAGAATCGAAGGTCGATTCCACCAGAAGACGACTGCAGATTCCTCTTGACCAGCTGTTGATTGGCTTTACTGGAACATTCTTGTTGACGCTGTTTCCGAGGCAATCTCCTTCGATTCCTTCAGATGACGAACAACATCAGAGCAAGGTTTCATCGGTACAACCAAATTCAAGTTAACGAGTCAAGAAAATTTACCGACTCATCCTCAAAAAGCTGTATATATGCATACTCTATATCCGACCTCTTTGATGGAGTATAAAGGGATTTATATACGAAGAAACTTGTCGTTTTGCTGATTATGGTATGTTTGCCGCTAAACGTAAAATTAGAGAAGCCATAGAAATAAA